TGTTTGTCCAGAAAGCTATGGGGTTTCCAGGATGACAGGAAGAGGGGGAAAGCCAGCCAAGTAAGTGTAGTAACAGGGACGCTATATTTGCAATTGAGCGAAAGAAGACTTTTCTTTGGGGAGAAGCGGGGTCTTGAGGCAGCACACCCACCCTGACTGTGGCATCTCCTTTGGTTCCAGTTAGAAGAATTGGGTAGCAGATGATGGGAAATGCTCTTTGTCTGAGGTCTTGGACAGTCACTGCTGGTCAGAGTACACATTAGTAATTTCTAAGACAGCTTCCTGTATCTCAGTGGCCTCCCCAAAATGCATGGAAAGTCATTTTTTAGCCTACAATTCCCAGAATTTCCTGGGAGTTGTTGTTTAGTTTTTCCTAGCTGTGCCCCAGCAATAATGTAGTTGGTCAATGTCCAACAAAAACAGAACAACAACAACAAAAAATTACTGTGAGCCTCTTAAAGACTAGCAGATTTATTTCAGTGCAAGCTTCCATGGATAACATTTTACTTCCTGAGACACATTATTGTCCATAAAAGCATGTTTTGAAATATTTCTATTAGCCTTTAAGGTGGCATGATATTTTTGCTTTTATTTTTATTTTATTTTTCTGTTTTGTAAGTCATGTTTGTCTTTTTCAGCATATATTTCTGGATAGTTCAGTGGTTTAGGTAATTGGCTGCAGAATTTGATTCCCCATTGTGTCTCCTGTGAGTAGCGCCAGCCTATGTGGCCTTGGGCAAGCTGTGCAGTCACAGGACACCCCCAGAAGAAGGGAATGTTAAACCACTTCTGAGTACCTAGAAAACCCTGTAAAGAGTTACCATAAGTCAGAACTAACTTGATAGCATATGCTGATGATTTTTGAAAACTGTTTTGTCAACTAAAATTGGCCAACATGTTAATAATGTCCATTTAGGGTTCTGTAGCTTTGTGTGCCTAATTGTGGCTAATTGATGCTATGTCAAGCCACATCACAGTTGCAGAATTGGGTATGCGACCAGGCATCTGACCAAGATGCACCCCATGACCTTGTCAATTAGCTGCAATTAGCTGTGACCTGTTACGCAAACCTTATGTGAACACCAGTAGGATGTTGACCGTTGTTACTTGATTGTCATAACTTCATTGTCCTGGCTGATCAGACGGGTGACTAAGCTGGCCAGGGTTCAGATCTGGCCATGTCCATACTTTTTATGGATTGTGTATCCCTGGTTACTGTAGCTGTTCCTGGAGTATTAATCAAAAAATGCAGAATTTTAACATGCATTGAAAAAAGGAAAATAAAATAAGAGCATTCTTTTCCAAGCATAGCTCAAATTAAAAGCAAAAGCGAGAGCCCTTTTTGATGGAAAAATCCAGTGTCCACTACTCTTCTGTCTTCAGGGAAGAGACTAGCCTTCCAAATCAGCAGCCTTTTAAAAAAAATAAGCTCTGAGTCAGAAGTTCCAGAATTTTGCAAGACCATGAGATGGCTTCAGAAGAGTTTTCTGAGGCACCTACCTATCATGCAGTTCATCTCTGACAAAGGATAAACAACACTTTAAATCACCACAGATAGCCGTAATGAGCCAGGCAGGCTGGGTGCGTTTACTGCCATAGATTGCAAAGTAGTATCCTGGCTCTGTACCAGCCCCTCTCCCAGGCAGCCCCTCTGCTGATAACCACAACTGTTTTTTTGCAATCAATTCTACCTCTGACAGACTTCCCATAAAGGGAAACCTCAGCTTAGAATCTCTTTGGAGGTAATGCAGAGCCAGGCATGATTTTGATATTGATATTCATTGTATTGGATACTAAATCTCCTTCACAGACCTTCTTAAAATTAAAAAAATCCTGTAAGAGAATCCTATGTAGGTCACTCTGTCCCTGGAATAATTTTTTGAAGCCATGCAATTTGGTTGGAAAGTGGGGGTGGTGGGTGAGTGGGCTTGTTTAACCTTTCTTTTGCCTGCTGCCACCCTGCTCCAAATTGTGAGCACACAACCCAGTTTTTTTCTCATGGAATTCTCCACATGTTTGCAAGGATATCTCGCCTTTCAGTGATCTGCATTCATTTTGTTATAATATCTTCTGGTTTAATATTATTGGGTGTAAATAAATATTTACTGCTGCTCCCCACTTCTGGACAGACCAAAATTCTCATTCTAGTATATGAGCTGTATAGTGTGTGTGTGTGTGTGTGTGTGTGTGTGTGTGTGTGTGTGTGTGTGTGTGTTTAAATGCAACAAACTGGGAACCACTTGTTGCATTTATCATCATCATCATCATTCTTTATTATGGCCACAGACCAGCAAGATTATAAGAAACGGATTATACAGAAAAAACTCCTATATGTAGTATATGAATCCTTCTTTCAAGGTGATTGCAACATTTGTTGCATTTATGAATGCATGTCCTCCTGACCGACTGCCTTTTAGAGGCTGGGGAAGTCCCCAGTTTGATCTGGTTCTCCAGATGCTTTTCAGAAGTATTTTTACTCCACCTCCTGCTTTTAAGATTCTGATCAGAAGTTTTTGTTATTTGACAGCAACTGGGGTGAGCATTTAGGGGGGCAGCTTAGTCTAAGGCAGTGGTTTTTAACCTTGGTTTACTCAGGTGTTTTTGAACTGCAACTCCCAGAAATCCCAGCCAGCACAGCTGGTGGTGAAGGCTTCTGGGAGTTGCAGTCCAAAAAACACCTGAGTAACCCAAGGTTAAGAACCACGGGTCTAAGGCTTAGAAAGGTTACTTTTTTGGACTACAGTGCTCATCCAACATAGTAACTAGTCACGTTGGCTTGGGGATTCTGGGAGTTGTAGGTCTTTTCATAGCTTTGGTTTGGTTTCGACCTCAAGACTGTAGGCCAGATTTCTGCAGTTCTGTAGAGCAGCTAATGATGTGGGCAGGAGCGGACCATTCTGGTACCAGCACCTGGTCCAGCATTGGGGCAGATGCTGAGCTCCTCGGCATTCCTTCTTATATTTAAGGATGTTTTATAATCAGGGGAAAGTGAAGGAAGTTTCTATATAATTGTAGGTGCTCATTTTGTTCTGCTCAATTTGAAAGTTCACTGACCTAGTCCCAAATCAACGTGTTTAGCATCAGGCTAGCAGAAGAAAATTCCCTATTATTCCTGAAATCATGATGGAGGTGTGACTTCAGTGAGCTTAAAATATAAACTACTTTTTCAAAGAAGTAGTTGTGTTAGGGTGCGACTACACAGTGGGGGGAAACTGCTTTCATCTGCTTTGATCCAGTTTTTCAAATCAGATCCCTGCTGGTTTCTGTGGGTGAAATCACTGAAACCATCCAGATGAATCCACACAGTTATTGTGTTTCAGGAGTCAGCAGGGGCAGGAGCAGAGAAAGCTGTGAATGTGTTTGCACACAGCATCAAGAGCAAACGCTGTCTCTGATCTGATGAGATGTCGGTTAGCAATTTCCACCAGGACCACCCCTTCCATTCACCTCCGTTTATTAAATGCATTTTTTTCCTGAAATGTCTTGGCACTAATATGTTGCAGTGTTGACTCTGAAAAACATTTTAAAAAATCCGTTTGGAGACAACAGGCAGTTAAGGGGAACTGGCATCCCTGCCAGCACCCATTTGCATTGGATCAGGCTGTCACGCAGAGCAGAAAGTGAAGAAAAGCAATGCCAGCAAACTGGAGCAAAATTAAACTGCCCCTGCTGGCTAAACAAAAAATAGATGATTCCCCACTGGAAATAGATGATTCCTCCACTGGGCTTCCCTGCACTGAACTTTACATTATGTAGCTACCAGTTTTTAATTCACTTTCATCCATACCAAATCTGAGGTAAACTGCAGTCTAAATGGACAGTTTAGTTGCCCCCTTACACTGCCGATTCTTTGCCTTATCTCAGTGTGTGACATGAACAAAAGTAAAAGGGGAAGAGAAAAAGGGGAAAGGGTACATTTTCTGAGTATTTTGTTCTTTCCTTTTTAAAAAAGATCACAGTTGGCTAATTGTTTTTGTTTAGTTTTAGCAGAACAGACCGGGAATGTAAAACCAAGCATGAAGGACGATGTGGTGGGGTGGTAAGAATGTAAATGCCAGTTGCTTTTTTCTAACTTGTAACAAATGGCTGTTCAATTCCCCTCCCTTACAATCATTAAATTTAATGTCCAAAATTAGATGACCAAGATTCACAACTTTCCAAGAGACTGCACTAGCCCCTTAAGAGTGGTTTAATTTATTTAAGAGTGTTCTGTTTTGTAAAGTTGGCTGGATAACTCCGTGGTTTAGGTATCTGGCTCTGGAGCCAGAGACTGGAAGTTCCAATTCCTTACTGTGCCTCCTACAAATAAAGCCAGCCTGTGTGGCCTTGAGCAAGCTGCAAAGCCCTAGGGCGCCCCCAGAGGAAATGTATGGTAAAACCTAGAAAGCCCTGAAAAAACATCACAAGTCAGTTGACTTGACAGCACATTGGTGTAGTTGTTATAGAAGACCATTTTGCTAGAGCCAGAGACTGGAAGTTCCAATTCCCTACTGTGCCTCCTACAAATAAAGCCAGCCTGTGTGGCCTTGAGCAAGCTGCAAAGCCCTAGGGCGCCCCCAGAGGAAATGTATGGTAAAACCTAGAAAGCCCTGAAAAAACATCACAAGTCAGTTGACTTGACAGCACATTGGTGTAGTTGTTATAGAAGACCATTTTGAGTTTTAGTCTTTCACCCTATCCTACATTATATTGGATACCCATAATGATGTGCCATCAAGTTGATTGATTGATTGATTGGTTGATTGATTGATTGATTGCAACCCTTTTCAGGGTTTCCTAGCTACAGAATACTCAAAAATGGTTTACCATTCCCTTCTGGAAATGCTCTGAGACTGTGCAGCTTGCACAAGGCCATCTTGGCTAGCTCTTCCCCTAAGATGCACAATGGGGGATTGTATTTTTAATTTCTGACTTCATAGCCAGATGCCTAACTTACTGGGTTATTGTGACAGTTATCTAGGTAGCATGCATGGCTTAATGTTTGCTCTGATTGATTTCAGGGAACACGGGTGTGGCTGCAGGAGCAGGACCAGTTGCAGCCCTGCACTGTGAGCTCCTTGGCTGATGGCTCTGTGCTCTTCACTTCAGACTATGGTGAGGTAAGCAAAATGGAAGATTTGGCTTTTCATGAACCACTGAAGAAAACATTCCTGGATAATGTTGCTGTGCGTCTGTGCCAAATGAAACAGGACAATCCCAGACTATAACATGCAACACCTCACATTGTCAACAGTCAGACCATTAGAGGAGGAATCTGCTTCCATTCCTCCCTGCATGTGGCTGGGGCAATTAGATTTTTCTGAAGGCTTTGTCCTCGTTCAAGATTTGCAAATTGGTTTCCTAGCACTATACTTCTACCCTTTGATATTGCAAGAAAGCTACAAAGTGTATAGAGGCTAAAGGATGGCAACTGCAAACCCAAATAGTATGGGACATTTGAACCAGCAGTATGCCAGCAATTCACACTTCAGAATTTCTGTAAAGTCTGAAATTGGTGATATTCCCTATAGTGATTGTGTGAATCTGGATACTGTACTTCCGCTTCTCAAACTCCCCAGTTTATGAGGGAGAGAAGAATTCATGCTTCTCAGAAAGTCATAGGCCCTCCTTTTACACATTGGCAAGATGACAACACCGATTTTGGTTGTCTTTTGCTGTGATCTAATCACCCCCAGTGCAAGAGTTTCATCCGGGCCTCATTGGGGAAAGGCAGACAAATGGATTTTCCGTTATTGTGGTTTTATCAGTATTAGCAGTGACGAGGACATGTACGTAGGGTGACCTTTTGTCATGATTACACGTGTGGATTGTGAGGATCAGCTCACACAATACAGTTTCTTCAGTGTATACCTAAAACTGAAAATAGATGTAGCTGCCGTGATGCATCTTTTAGTCAGCACCAGATTAGATTATTGGAAAGTGCTCTGCTTCGGTGGCCCATTCAGAAACCACTGCTGATGCAAAATGCGGCAACCATTATGTGTTCTGGAATGTACTTTTCAGACCATATTGCACAAATTTCATATCATTTCTCCTGGTTTTCAGTCTGTTTCTGGTCCCAGCTAGTTCACTCCTGTAACATCCTACACAGCTTGGGGCTACAGTAACTGAAAGACCTCCTACTCCTCCCACGAGAACCTGCTCAAAAGTTGCGTATCACCGTCAGAAGCTTTGCTTTACATCGGAAGGGCGAGAGGTCTTTAAAATAAAAGTGGCTTCCCACAGGGGAGTGCTGGACCATCCTTCCTCCTCTGCCTCACTTGCCATTTCTGGATTATCCAGTTATTTTCTTCTCTTCCTGCCTCTGAAGGTGACCTAGGAGCAAAGGGAAATAGATGGGGAAAGAGGCACAGGGAAGGTGGGACAGGGCGGTGATGCGCCACTTCCAGGCTCTCACTCACTTTATGTTATAATGTCAGGAATAGGCACTGGGTGGGTTGCCTAGGGGCCCACGGAACCTCTGGCCATTTCAAACCCCATTTTCCCGGTCAAAATGAGGAGTGATCACCCTGTTCCCAACAGTGCCTGGAGAGAGGCGCACTTTGAAAGTGTGCATCTTGCTACATCTGCACCTTCTGCACACACACACACCTTGCTACTCAGCTGGTTTGTCGGGAACTGCTGAGCAACTGGTGAAGAGCTGGGCTGTGAATAAATTTTCATTTTTATCACCAGCAGTGTCCCCTGCCCCACTCTTCTGTTGTTCCATGCAAAAGAGCTGAGTAGCTGGAGACCCATATCTGGGAGAAGGAAGTTTAACCTTTTCCCATCATTCTGATCAAGCCTCATGTGCACACACAGATGCATACACACAGTGTTGAGCTTAGGATAAGACTTAATATCATCATATCAAGCAAGGAATTATCTTCATGTAGATGCATTTGGGAGGGAAGCATTAAACCTCTCCATCATGTTCCTGATAAATGTTTCGATAATGTATGTATGAATATGTGGAGGCAGAAGGGAATTTGGCCCTGATAGGAACCCCTATATCCATCAGCAAACCCTTCCCCAATGAAAAAGTTGCCCAGCCTTGTTATATGTGAATTGTGTAGATGTAGGAGAAGACACATATCACCACCATTGTCACATTTAGTTTGACCCTGTGAAATGGAAGAACTTCAATATAACTTGCCAGTTGTGACATGTCCCTAATAGTTTGCAGTCTGACATTTCTCTGTACCATCATTTCCTTCCTTCCAGGTGTTCTGCTACCCATGGACCTCTCTGCCCAGAGACAAAGTTCTTCCAATGCATCAGTCAAGCATGGAGGGGGTGGAGGACATGTCCATGCTGGGCGACTTGCACGAGGCTGCCATCTTGCTTAATCTGCACCAGCGCTACCAGAAGGACCACATCTATGTGAGTGAACAAAGTGGGCAGATATGTACAGACGGCTTGGAAAGGTTACTCTTTTGGACTGCCGTTTCCAGAAAGTGGGGGAACCATGGATCAGAAGAGTAACTTGTCCAAGTCCCACCAGAAGCAATGTTCTGAGCTTGCCTATATGACCTCCTTCTCATCCAGAATGGTTAGAACATGTGTCCATCCATCAGATGGACAAATGCCTTAGGTATGTTTGGAAGGAACCTCACTGGTATTCCTCAGCTACTTTGCACATATTTGGACCACTGTTTAGAGGCCCTTGGGAATGTTTGGATAGTATTTGAGAATACAGCACGCTAAGGCTTTGCCTATGCTTGCAGTAGGGAACAATGGAGTGTTGCTGGTGGATCCGATAACACGAGTGAATGCTGCCTTAAGGATAAAACTACTTCTGAGTGTAAACATCCCAGGGCAACACATCAGAGTGAGAGAGGCCCTGTCCTAGCCTAATTCCTAGATGCTAGCTTTCTGCTTGCAGAGAATTTTGATATAAGAGAATTAAGCAATGACCTCTTCTTCTGTGCATGCTCTGAAGTGTAATTAACCATTCTGCCATTTCAGAATGGTCCTTCTTCATTCCCACAGTTGGAAAACAGTTTTTTTTTTATATTATAAGTCCCAGAATCCCCCAGGTAGCACAGATCCTCTGCAGTCAATTGATGAAATATTCAATGACTGTAATCCAAAATATAATTTTTCCATGCCATCTTCTTCCTGCCTGGTTCTGCTATTTCAGTAGTGTTTGTTGTGAGATAATTGGGATATTGGTTCTCCCTACAGGAGAATACCTGCCATCTGTCAGTTGAAGGAGTTCCAGGTGTTTCTTTGGAATGTGTTTCAGGTGTCGGCTAAATGATGAGTTTGTGTACACCAAAGGTATTAGACTTCCTATTTCTCCCCCCTGTTTAGTACCCATGTTGGAAGGTAAAGAGAAGCAAGAAACCCAATGTTAGCAAAGCATTTACGAGATTACCTGGGCACACAGGAAAGGACAAGAGACATGCTCTCTCCTCTTCCTTACCTGTGCACAAGTATCTTCAAATTCTGATACTAAAGTGTAGATCTTAGGCTGTGTTGCATAGCAACGGTTGCTTAGGCAACAGGACCATATGCACCCTGTATTCCAGTAAATGATCAATTAAGTGACCCGGTTTCTAGGAAGCATCTTCTCCATTTTGGGCAGGCAAGGAAGTTATGAAGTCTGTTTTGCATAGCAATGAATCTTGCTGTCTGGTGGCAACATACTTCTCCTTCTACTCTCTGCACCCAGTTCTGTCTCTCTCCTGTAGCCGCTCAGGCTCTCTTTTTTTGGCAAAGAGCTCTTTATAACTCCGACCATATAATCTATTATCCTCTTAAATATGCCTGCATTTCAGCTGTCTACCCTTATCCTCCTTGGCTTGCTTCCTCTTCTTTCTAATAATAATAATAATAATAATAATAATAATAATAATAATAATAATAATAATAATAATAATAATAATAATAATAATAATAATAATAATAATAATAATAATAATAATAATAATAATAATAATAATAATAATAATAATAATAATAATAATAATAATAATAATAATAATAATAATAATAATAATAATAATAATAATAATAATAATAATAATAATAATAATAATAATAATAATAATAAGCATTACCTAGGACTGTGTGGTTGTGAGTGTGTTCAGAGCACTTGGCATACTGTCATCTGAGTATTGTACTAGACATGAAATGGAGTGTTGTCAACTCCATATTCTTTATTCTAGCTTTCTTGCAACATAGAATCTTATAGCTGTACAAGGGTCTCTCAAGAAACACTGACTCCGTCCCCTGTCAGAGAAGAAAAATCCCAGCTAAAGCATCCAGGACAGATGGCCATTCAAATTAGAAAAAAGGATTTTAAAAAAGGAGTCCACTATCTTCTAAGCTAGCCTGTTCCACTAACAGGAGAAAGATGACCATTCAAATTAGAAAAAGGATTTAAAAAAAGGAGTCCACCATCTTCTAAGCTAGCCTGTTCCACTAACAGTTCGACTCAGAAGTTCTTCCTGATGTTTAGCCAAAATCTCCTCTCTTTTTTTGAAGCCAGACAAAACAAACACACTCTATCTTCCACATGACAGCCCTTCAAGTATTTAAGATGATTCCCATGTTTATTACAGTGGTGGAAAAAAAACCTTTGGGCCTCTAGATGTTTTAGACTGTTATTCCTACAACCTTTTGTCAAATCCAATGGTTCCGGAATGCTGATGGTTTCAAACGGATGACCCTGTAGTGAGAATATGTAATGATGTGATATCATTGTGTTGTTTGTTTCTTCATCTTTGCCAGGCAGAAATACAAAACAGTATACAATATAATGTATTATATCATACCTTGTTTTTTTTTTAAATATTGCAAGAGACAATTAGAAAGAGAGGGAGTAGCAGTTTCAAGTATCTTATAAAGGCAGGTTTGGTATTCAGTAATCCTTGTGACAACCCTCTATATTGACTGTCACGGTCCACATATTACAGATTGCGGCCTGGGAGATTTCGGCAGAGGGATGTATGCATCTAGGCTTTTGAAAAGGAGCCTCGGAAACTAGAGAAAGATTTGCTCTTGAAAGACTGTAAATCCTGACACATTTCAGGTCTTAGCCCTTCCTTAGGGGGGAGAGATTATAGAAAGCTAAACAGATTTTTTTTAAAAAAAAAACACACATTTAAGCCTCTTTTTTTTCCCCAAGGAAGAACTGCTATCTGAAATGTGGAAGACATACTGTCACTCACAATAAGCATTGGGAACCGTCTGGTATTTTTTCACCTGTGCTTTTCTGAGGTAAAGCAGTCACAGTTGCTGTGCTACTTCAGATACTTACTAGTGATCAGCCATTCTTTCTCATGTGTTTGTGTTGTAGACTAGAGTTGGGCAGAGGCTAGACCATTAGAAGGTATTAACTTATTGTTTATATTTATATCCCACCTTTCCTCTGGTGAGGACAAGGTGATGTATAGAGTCATCTTGGCCATTTTATCTTCACAATAATACTGTGGGTAGGTCAGAGGGAAAGAAATTGACAAGCCCAGGTAATGGCTCAGCAAGGACTTGAAGCTGGATCCTGTAAGTTCTTGTCTGGTGTGTTAATCACTACGTGGCACCAGCTGTAGATTAACAAGGATTACTGATTCCCAAATGTTTGATAATGATGACATAGGCTGCTGGAAACTTCAGAAAGCAGTGCAATACAGTGGTGCCTCATTTGGTGACGTTAATTTGTTCCAGCGAAATCACTGTAGAGCAAAAATGTCGTCAAGTGAAATAAAAAAGCCCATTGAAATGCATTGAAAACCGTTCAATCGGTTCCAATGGGCTGAATACCTGCTCGTCCAGCGAAGATCCTCCATACAACGGCCATTTTCGGGTGCCTGTTAAGTGAAAAATACCTCCTAAAAACAGCGGGGAGCCATTTTGAGCAGCCGCCGGCCATTTTGAAAACCCGACGATCAGCTGTTTTGATCGTCATAATGCGAAGAATCGGTTCCCGAAGCAGGGAACCAATCGTCACAAAGCGAAAAAACCCCATTAAAGCATTGTTTTGCTATCACAATTGCGATTGCAAAAACATCGTCATGAAGTGGATTCGTTGTTATATGGGGTAATCATTAAGCGGGGCACGACGACTGTACTTCATTTTGGTGTAGAAGGAGGAAGAGTAAAGCTGGCCACTCTTATTCAGTGTATGCAATCATTGACTGAGACTTCACTTCTCTGCCCTCTTTCCCACATTGAAAAGCTCCATCTGGTGCCTCAACTGGAATTCTGATGGCACTGGAAAGTTTGTCCCTGCTCCCCAGCATCATCCAGCCAATGGAAGCCTGCTAGGGGATGGGTTCTGCTCACCTACATGCAATGGTACTCCTCCTCTTTTGGGAGAGTCTGCTGACACATACTGATGGTCTGTTCCTTCAGACAAAAGTTCAGTAGGAATGCTCCCAGTCTGATCCTTGAGCAATTGAGTGGAGTGATATTGCCCTTCTGTGTTGAGAAGCAGCTAAAAAACACTGAGAGTGGCACAAACGTTACTTTCCCAATCAAATACTCTTTTCCTTTCTGCCTAACTTCTAATTGTGATAATGTCTACCTCTGCGGAAGAAAGGTGGGGCCAGCGCTTTTTGCTATACTCTTATAAGCTGTTGGTGAGACGTAGGGTAAAAGCATGTCGTGCACTTGTCCAGGATCCCTCAAAAATTCTTACCTCTGCTGAGAAATGGATACAAATGTTCTGCTCTCTGAGGCTCTCTAGGGGGATTCTTCTAAAACTTGATTCTCGAGATAAGAAGGCAAAGTGTTCTTGACCTGTCTTGCATTTTGTTAATGGGCACCTTGCAAAATAATTTGTTCTAGTACTCTTAGATACTGTCCTCTAAGCAGCACTTCTCTCTTTCCTGTAATAGCGGCCTCCCTCCATATATTTTTAGAGAGCCACGATGTACCCTTTTAGCTTCCCCCCCTTTTTTGTCTAAAGAGTCTCAGTGCTTTAACTTTGCTTTCAAAGCGCAATCTCCCCTTAAAAACATTGATCCTTGTCTGATGGATGATGGATCCCCATCCATCCTCTATCTAATAGCCTTGGTTGTATTCAGAAACTGCCAGGTATTCCTCATCTTTGCCAGAAGGAAACCAATGAGCTCACCATCGTTCTGGGGGCCATGTAAGAAATCTGTGATTGCCCTTGTTTCAAAATCTTATGTTTTGCCCCACTGATGGAGGAGGCGGGGAAATGTATATATACCCCCATATGTTTTTCTCCCTCGGGGCAAAACAATGGCAAGAGGTTTTGTTAGAAAACCTGTCCCTGAAAGAAAGGATTAAACATCTTCCCACATTCCAGTGTAGTCCATACGGCTGCTCTGGGAGCCAAAGAAGCTGCCTTATCCTGAGTCAGGCCATTGGCACGGAGAGCTATCCTACATACTGTTGACTCTGGAGCTCTCTAGAGTTTCAGGCCAGATTCTTTCCTAGTTTTACCTGGGGATCCCTGGTATTACCAGGGATGTTGGCATGTCTTTGGGTCCGAATCCCAAGTCAGAGTCTGTGTATTTGGTACCAAGTCCTGAGTCTCAAACCCCAAGTCTGAGTCCCTATTAAAAACAAGCTCTTTTCCCTAGAAAAAAAGGGAGGGGTGGGTGGGTTCCAAGTCACAAGCTGAGTTGGGAGTCATTAAAACACACACACACACACACCAAGTTGAGTCCACTTCAAGTCACTGGTATGACTTATGTCTGATTTTACTCGAATCCCCATCCCTGGGTATTACCTGGTACTGTACTTTCCTTCTGAATTACTAACAAAGCCCAACCCAGCTTAGCTTCCAAAATCATAAGAGATGGGGTTATTTAGACCAGCACGCTGGGTCTGCGAGAAGAGTATTAAAAAAATACCAGTTTCAGCCATAGATTTTGCTTCTTCCTCAAGCCAAGTCTTGAATATGGATTTAATAGTTTGCCTGGGTTTCAGTTACCGTATTTTATCATGTTGCTAAGAATTAAAAAAACACAATTGGCTTTTAGGAATGAATTGTTTCTCCAGAGGTTGGAATGAATTGAAAACCTCTGGATGACATCCACAGGTATACTCCCAACTTCATGCAGGACTAAATTTCTTTCTTTCTTATTTTCAAGAGCTGGACTGTGAAAAGGAAAAGTATATTTGGACTGAATTGCATTGAGAGATATTTTCTCATTGCTTGTACTGTTCCAGATATGTCCAGAGTAGACCTTTGGTCTAGATGGGCGGGATAGAAATCA